TTTGGGTTATTAACTTTTATTTTATTTTTTTTTTTTTTTTTTTTTTTTTTTTTTTTTTAAAGACAGGGTCTTGTATGTAATTCAGATTAGCCTTAAACTCACTGTAGTCCAGGCTGGTCTTGAATTTAACAAGAGCCTCCTGCATCAGTCTCCCAAGTGCTGGAATTACATGTGTGCACCATCACACACAGCTCTGGGTTATTAACTTTAGTACAGAGAAGAATCTGGTAGCATTACCTGTCCTAGAAACTAGTTCAACAACCTCTACCCTGTGGTGCGCAGTCACTGCCCAGAGCTGCGTTTTCTGTTGTCAGTAGCTCCCAACAGATTCCTGCTACCCCGAGAGCTTTGCTCTGACTTTCTCTGCTGTCCACGCTGCTGTCCTGGAATGCTCAATGAGATATGCCTGCTATTGCCTCCCTTTCCCAGTGAGGAAAGAGATAAAAGCCCAGATGACAATGTGACAGTGTGGAGCTTCTCAAAGTGCTTGTGCTTAACTTAGTTGGTTAAGGAATTCCACTTGGCCTCTTCATAGAAAGACATCTTCATTTTCCTCTGTCATTCTCATGTCTTCTGTCCTTCCTTCCTCTCTCCCCTTTACCTCCCTGCCTCCTTCCCTCACTCTCTTCCTCCCCCTCCCTTTCTTCCTCCTTCCCTCACTCTCTTCCTCCTTCCATCCCTTCCTTCTATCCGTCTTTTCATAAGATAGACTCTTTTCTGGAGACAGAATCTCACATGTAGTCCAGGCTGGCCTGGAATTCACCTTGCCGCGTAGCCAGAGGCTGGTCTCCAGTTTGAGGCGCGCCTCCTGCCTCAGCCCTCTGCGTGCCGGGCTTGCAGGTGTGAGCCACCAGGCCCAGCATCATGTTACTTCTTGCAGAGTTGGAGTTCTGTTTAGAAAGTCCGCGTGTGTGCCTATGGCTTCAAGTATTTCTCCTGTTTTACCTTTCTGAAAACTCAGTGTTTCTTTCTTTCTTTTTTTTTTTTTTATCTAGGTTTTTGACCCATTTTTGTTTGATTCTCATACAGGGTGAGAGTCGTGGATCTAGATCCATTGTTCTGCACGTAGGTGACCAGTTTTCTGAGCACCACTTGTTAAAGAGGCTGTCTTTTCTCGGGCTTTCGATGGCAGCCCTTTCAGCCATCCCCAGGCGTGGGGCCGGGCCGCGTCTTCTCCTCGCTCGCTCAGTCCTGTGTGTCTCCCGTCTTCATGGCGGCGCCTCGCTATTTTCAGTACTGACCTTGTAGCTCCCTGACTTCAAATCTGGGGTTAGTGTACCTCCTTGCACTTGGCTCTTTTTGTTCAGGGCTGCTCTGGCGGTTTTTCTGGGTCTCTTCTGGCTCTACATAAATTTAAGGTTTTTTCTAGGTCTGTGAAGAGTATTTTGGTATTTTCATTAGACATATTAAATGTGTACATTCCTTTTGGCAATATGGCCATTTGACAATACCGATTCAACCTATCCGGGACAGGAGGTGTCTTCTTCCACAGTGCTTTGGTCGTGAGGTGTGTGCTAGGGGTCTGCAGACGTTGCCAGCATACAAATGACTGCCTGCATGCATCCCTTTTCTGTCGCGTGTGTTGGGCATGGCCACCGTGGACAGCTGCATAACAGATGTCCAGGGCCATCCTTCCAGCAGAGTCTCTTGCTCTTGTGTGCATTCTGTTATCCCTTGGACTGCTACAGCAGTCCTGCTACAGCTCTTCAGCTACTGTTGAAAGTGGATTACTACAGAGTTACAACCATGAGTGGGAGGAGCAAGTACCCTACTGGGGACCCAGGTTGTGACATGAAGAAAGAGTTGTAGGTAGTTAGGTAAGCTTTGGGGAAGTTGTATTGTCCCTGGGGGAGCCTCTGATGACCCCATCCCTAGTGAACTGGGTATTTTTTGGGGCACTGTCATGTCCTGAGTCCCTCTGGGCCCCTACAGCCACCCAGCAGCACAGTGTCACCAGGACCCGAGCTGCTTGCAGGTCTCATGGCTGCTGGTTTCCTGAATGTCCCCATTAGAGTTCCAGCCTGTTTTGTTCCCTGGTGCTTCTCTAGTGCTAGCTCAGAGCTTGACCTGTTATAGGGCTCAAGCAATCTTTGTTAAGCACTGAGTAAGTGGATCGGCAGAGGTTGGATTTGAATCCTGCGCATTTTGAAGCTGGAGCTGCTTCCGAGTTCAGTTGTCTCTGTGAGAGACTGAGTTCGAGTTCTGTGCCCTCATTCAGGCTTGAGGTTGCCTATTGGCAAGTGCTTTGACCAGTTGTGTGAGCCACTGCATGCATCATTTCCCTGAAGCGGGGGGCGATGTTCTCCAGGGAAGCCAGTGTCCCTAGGATGATCCTGGGGGCCAAGAGCCAGCCAGGCAGGAACAGCTGGCTGTGCAGAGGTAACATCTGCCCTGAACTCACGGTGCTCACAGCTGTCCACAGCACATCCCGTCTGCGAGGCTTCTTGGGATCATGCATGGGACACAGACCATGCAGCGTCTCAGCACTGATTGACTGAGCTGGGTCCAATCCTACTGGGAAAGAAATCTCTGGAACATACACAGTGTGTTCTGAGCTGTGCTCTGAGCTCCCCCGAGCTGCTTCTCTTTTTGCAGAGAGCACGCAGCCTGCCGGGAGGGCCCCAGCAGTGAGTTGGCCGGCCCTGTCTGTGGAGGGCCAGCTGCTGGCTCTGTCAGTCTCACTCAATATCCAGTCCAGTGACTGTTTCCTAAGAAACATCCGGGTGTAGGTTCATTGTACACATCCTGTATATGATACAGATTCGCTGAAGCACTTTAATTGGATGAGCTCCAATGAGCAAAAATGGGAAATTGATGCCTTTCCCTCAAATTACGTTAAATGAAACCACAGCTTGGTGATTTTCAGCTTATGCTTGATGCAGAAAATACAGGGAGGAATCAATCCAGGGCTCCTTGTGTTCACACAAATGTGGGGTGGGGGCTGGGCCAGGACAGGCAGGGCCCACAGAGCTGCCCGAGGACACCGGGCAGAGCAGGTCCAGCCTTCGGTCCCCTGTGGGCCCCACACGGCAGGCACGGCCACACCTGCTTGGCCTCCAGCCTGCTGAGTCCCTGGCGCCCAGCTGCATGGTCCTTGGCCAGTTGTTTATCCCCACATAACCGCCTCCTTGAACTTCTAGGGGTCCTCTCAGAACCACCCTTGTGACGTCACGGCCAGAATGGAGCAGCTCTGTAGGAAACTCTTAGAAAATGGTCTGAGCTAGCTCGCTGGCCCCCAAGTTTGCTTTTCTTTATGAAAAAGTAGAACACCATTATATATAAATAACACATCCTTATTCATTCTTTATAAATTGATTTATTGCTGGATTTTTCTATTTAATATTTTCAGATCATGGTTGGCTGAGTATATAGCTATTACAGCAAAATAATAGATCACATTATCCAATATGTTAAATCACCTACACATTTAATGTATAACTTAACATATAATGATATAGTTTACTGCATCATATTAAAAGCGAAGCTCAGCACTCTTTTCTAGGAGTGAACTCAGGCACACCATGTCCACGCAGGCACTGTCCACCTTGCCTTACGCGTTAGTCATACTACCCAGCGCTCATAACTGAAAGGAGGAGAGGACTATGTCTGGTTCATGTTTCGGAGGACTCAGTCTGTGGTTCGTTGGCCGCAGGGCGGAAATGGCCTGGCAGAGGGCCTGGTGAGGAAACGCACCCGGCCCTTAGCAGCCAGGGAACAGAGAGCGGGAGGAGCCAGGAACAGGACTGCAGTGTCAAAGGCCTCGCACTTCCACCTCTGAACATGAGACTTTTGACCGAAACTATAAAATTCTACACTGGCCCCTAAGCTCATGCATAGCTCAATGTATAAAATGCACTCAGTGCATCTCTAACAGTTGCCAACGTTTTCCTAACTGTAGCGTTGTTGAGAAGTCCAAGCACTAAGTCTCCTCTGAGTTTTAAAGCAAACACTGAAAATTAAGAAGTTAAATATTTCTCGTATATAATGGCATGGATTTTATATATTGCTGAATTTTTCATTGCTGTTTTGAAAGGGAAGGAATAGGGAAAAGAAAGAAATCAAGGAGGCGGCGAGCTGGCGCAGTGGTCTGGGCGGCTGGCGGCGGAGCGCGAGGTCGCCGGTTCGCGCCCCCGTCCCGCCTGTCTCTCTGTTTGGGGCTGGAGAGATGGCTCAGTGGTCTAAAGCAC